ATAGATAGATAGATAGATAGATAGATAGATAGATAGATAGATAGATATAAATAAAGATAGATGATAGACAGATATGCATAAAGATAGATGATGGATAGATGGATAGATAGATAGTTAGATAGATACAGGTAGATGATAGGTAGGTAGGCAGGTAAATAAATGGATGGATGGAGCTAGCTAGATGGCTAGCTAAATATAGATGATAGATAAAGAGAGATGGTAGATAGATAGATAGATAGATAGATAGATAGATAGATAGATAGAAAGATATTGATAAATAAAGATAGTTGATAGATAGACAGATAAATGGATGGATGGATGGCAGTGGTGGGATTCGCATTTTTTTACTACCGGTTCTGCGGGCATGGCTTGGTGGGTGTGGCAGGGGAAGGATACTGTAAAATCTCCAGTCAGAGGTGGGATTTGCCGTTTCTCCAAACTACTCACGATGTCCACTACCGGTTCTCCAGAACTGGTCAGAACCTGCTGAAGACCCACCTCTGATGGACAGACGGACGGATGGATGGATTTTCTTCATTGCTGCCAAGAAATTTGTATGGATGTGGGAAATATGGAATAGAACAGAATAACAGTGTTGGAAGGGTCCCGGGAGGTCTTATAGTCCAACCCACTGCTCTGGCAAGAGACCTATGTACAATTTCAGACAACTGATTGTCCAATTTCTTCTTAAAAACTTCCAGTGTTCCAAGTTCTGTAGGCAAGTTGTTCCACTGATTAACTGTTCTCACTGTTGTGATTGCTGATTATTAATAATGAATACTTATTAGTATTAATTAACCAACATTATAATGTTTAATAATTAATAAACTAAGCACTAGTAAGGTACAATAGTTGAAATGAGAATAAACTAATAACTAGTACATTCATACTTACCAGATGTGTTAGTGATACTGGATGTTTTTAATTCCTTTCCCAGTTGCTAAATATTTCACAAGGATTCCTCAAATTATGACCGTTTGTTTAAGAACAGCTTGCAGTTATGATGGTGCTGAACAAAGGAATTTATAAAACATCCTTGAAGTTATGACTGTCACAGCTTTGGAAACTGGTTGAGGTTTATGGTAGAATGCTATGAAAATTTAAGGCTGAATTTGTTTAAGAATTCTGCTGTAAAATGGTTGAAATATGGGTCCAATCATCTGATGACTCACTTAATGACTGCATCACTTAGTGACCAAAATTTCAGTCCCAATCATGGACTTATAACCAAAAATTGAGTTGCAAACTTCCATTGCTAAGCAAGAGAGTTATTGCCCCATGTTACGACCATTCTTGCCACTGCCGATAAGCGAATCACTGCAGTTGTTAAGTTAGTAACATGGTTATTAAGTGAATCGCATGGAAATCACATGACCCCAGGGACGCTGCAACTGTCGTAAATACAAGTCCATTGCCAAGCATCTGAACTTTGATCAGGTGACTATAGGGAATGCCGTAGCGGTTGTAAGCATGAAACGTAGTCGTTAAGTCAATTTTTTTCAATAAAGATATGGTCACTAAATGAATAAGTTGAGGACTCCCTGTACTGATATAAGTTTTCTGTGTGCGTCTGTCTGTTTTTAATCATATTTAATATTGTTAGTGACACGGGATCATGTATTTGGAAGAGCAGCTGTAAGAATGCAAGAAATAAACAAACCATCATATAATCCTACGTAGGGAAAACTGACATTTCCAAACGGCTTCGTTCTGGAGGAAACCTTCACCAACAAATCTATAGAAGGATTACAGGTTCCAGGAGCGATGATCCCTTCTGGCGATCAACAATCTTTCGCCAAATCTGCTATGTAAGTGCATGGTTTGTTGAGATTGTGAGGCTCCCACTCTTGGAGAGAAGCTTCTAGAAACTCCATTCTTGTCCTCCAGAATGTTTGGCTAGCAGAGACCTTACTGTGTTTCCTTGCTGATGGACCATTTGAATAATCCCACCAGAAACGGGTCTCCGAATGATCGAATTCAACGTTTCTCAACCTCCGCACGTTGAAAACGGGAGGACTTCAACTCCCAGAATTCCCTAAACTTGCACGCTGTTTGGAGAATTCTGGGGCTTGAAGTCCACAAGTGTTCAACATGATGAAGTGTTGGGTTAGAACAGGGGTGTCCAACTCTCATTTCATCCAGTTTGAAAGGGGGCTGCATCAGGGTTGTGTTTGACCTCATGGGGTCAGTGTAGGCGTGGCCAGGGTGAGCATGGCCAACTTATGTCGGGGGCACCTGTGGTGGCCAGGTGCTAAGGCAGGACTCCATCTCATAATCTTCCTTCCTTCCTTCCATCCTTCCCTCCCTCCCTCCCCTTCCTTCCTTTTCTTCTTTTCCCCCTCCTTCTTCATTTTCCTTTCTTCTTCCTTCCCCTCTTCCCCTATTTTTCTTTCCTTGCCCTCTTCCCATCTTCCCTTCTTTTTCTTTTTTGTTTTCTCTTTCCCCTTCTCCTTTCCTGTCCCTTCTCGCACGTTCAAATGCAAAAGGGGAAACGTTTCTCCTTTTTTGGTTTTGCTTTTAGTTTGTTCGGAAAACGGAGTTCCGTTTTCGCTGGCAGAGGCACTGTGGGCTGGTCCTTTGCTATTTGCAAGGTAGCCCCGCGGGGCCAGATCTAAGCACACTCTTATTTATGGCAAAATCCATGTTTCAATGTTCCCATGTGGCTTTTTGGGGTCACCCTTTTGTGGAACAGCCTTAGTCAACTTTGAAGAGTTTGACTTCTTGTGGGAAAATATGGAGTTTATATCGGCAGTCCTCGACTTATGACCATGATTGAGCCCATACCTCCTGTTGCTAAACAAGACAGTTGTTAAGCAAGTTTTGCCCCAGCCTTTCTTGCCACAGTTTTTAAGTGAATCACTGCAGCTGTTGAGTTAGCCACGCAGTCATTAAGCAAATCTGGGCTTCCCCATTGACTTCGCTCATCAGAAGGTCACAAAAGGGGATTATGTGACCCGCCCCACCCCCCGGGACACTGGGGCTGTCATAAATATGAGTCAGTTGACAAATGTTTGAATTTTGATCACGTTACCATGGGGATACCTGCAACGGTCGTAAGGGTGAAAAATGCCTTTGTAACTTTGAACGGTCGCTAAATGAACTGCTGTAAGTCGAGGACTGCCCGTAAGGTCAATATGAACAGATCTACATTGGCAGGGCTGATAGCTGTGAATTAATGCCCGTCGCGTTAGATGCACACTGATGTCCATTCGCACGTGATTTGAGAACCATCGAGGTGGGGATGTTGTACGTGTGAATCGTTATGTTTTTCTCGTCCAGCCAGTTGGGTCAGGAAGACTTCCCGGTGGAGAAGCGATGGGAAAACCTCTACGACCAGTTTCTGGCATTCATCCATGCAGGAGGTCAAGCGGACACTGAAGAATCGTTCATGGGGTTTCACGTCCAGACGAGTCGCGAACTGCGCAAATCTCAGGAGAATCTCTTCTGCGATGGGTAAATGGCCGTCGCTTTGCGAGAAAGCGTCGCTGTTTCTGAGCAGCAGGATCGGGGCCTCGGGGTTAGATCTTGACTACTGCCAGTTGATCTGCCTGGGGCTGCCCTTGGAAATGATCTGGAAGCTTTGTTTGGTCCAACAAGCAGTGGTTTTGTGCAAATCTAGATTGGTGCACCTCTCTTGCGGAGTTGCGTTGTGCTTCCAGGTTCAATTCCAGGTGCTGGTTGTCACCTTCAAGGCCCTACCTGGGTCGAGAGCAGGTTATTTAAAGCAGTGATCCCCAACCTTTTTGACGCCGCGGCCCGGTACCGGCATCAGCTGGGCGCCGCGGCCCGGTACCGGCATCAACTGGGCGCCGCCATCTTTTTTTGACGAAAAAGTGCTTTCGGTGACCTCACCGGAAGCACTTTTTCGTCAAAAAAGATGGGCGCCGCCATCTTTTTTTGATGAAAAAGTGCTTCCGGTGAGCTTTCTACCCGGAAAAGCTCACCGGAAGCACTTTTTTACCAAAAAAAGATGGCGGCGCCCAGCAACCAGTGGCCCGGTAAGAATTGTTCCGCGGACCGGTACCGGTCCGCGGACCGGCGGTTGGGGACCCCTGATTTAAAGGATCCAGTCACATCTACCCGACCCACCAAAGCAGAGAGGCAGGAGATGTTATAGGTCTTTTCCAGGGGTGGGATTCTACCGGTTTGGATCGGTTCGACCGAACTGGATGTTAAAGTTAACATCCAGCTCGCCAAATCGGTATTTCAACCGACTGGCTGACCCCTCCCCACCCCTCCCCTCCCAGGAGTCTCCAGGCAGTCCCTTTTTGATGCAGGTAAGTGCAGGATCCGGGTGGGAGTAAAACGGGCCTTCCGGAAGTCTGGAAACGGGTCTGTTTCCAGCTTCCGGTGGGCCTTCAGAGCTCTGGGAAGGCCGTTTTCGCCCTCCTAGAAGCCCTGGGGAAGCCTTGGGAAGCCGGAAACAGGAAGTTCCAGTAGGCCACGCCCACTATGGCCACACCCATTCAGCAACCGGGCAGCAAATCAGTCGCTGGGATTTTTTAAAAATAATTTGTTATTTATTTATTTTGAGAACAAACATTGACAAATACAAACATTAAACATCAAATAAAACCATCTTTCCATTGTACAGTGTGTTGGTTGGTACATACCTCTTGTGCACAATTATCAACAATCCTTCCCTTCTAAATTTAGATTAAAATCCATATTATATAGCTCAACTATGCACACTATATTACTTAGACTATAATTATACGTTCATTCTTTTCGAGCAAATCTCAACTTTTACGAAACCTAGTTCATAATATCATTCATTTCATTATAAAGTTATATTATATCATTACATTATCTTATCTCTACTATTGTATTATATTATTACAATATATTTTATTTACCTATTTTCTTATCTAGCCATTGGTAAAATAAATCCCATATTTTATAACATTCTTTATCTTCTTGCTCTCCAATTTCTAATGTCGATTTATTCATTTCTGCACATTCCATTATCTTCTTAATCACCTCCTCTTCTATCGGATTTTTTTTTTCCACTATTCCAGTTTTTAGCAAATACAATTCTATGGTTGCTGGGATTTCTGAATCCCACCCCTGGTCTTCTCTCTTAAAGAGATGGGACCCAGAAGAAGGGCCTTCTCTGTGTTGGCTCCTTCCCTGTTATTTGAAGGACCATCCTTTCCACCCAACACACCAGAGTAGAGAGGCAGGAGATGCTATGGGCCCCATCGTTGAAGGAGGTCCATCTGGTGGGACCAGGGAGAAGGGCCTTTTCCACGGGGGCTCCCATCCCTGCAGAGCTAGGATTGGCCCCCACTTTGGGGCTTTTTCTGGTGCTGCCAACGGAGAAGGGAGACCTCAGGGTGATACGGAGCCCATCAAGTGCTTGATTTGATTGTGGTCACTTAAGAAGGTGGCTGTTTTTCAGTCTCTGTATTGTGGTTTTATCTTTATCAGGTACCCAGTTTTGGCCATGAGTGGTTTGGACAGCCATCTAAATTTTTTGCAATGCCGGTAGTTCTCGACTTACGACCACAATTGGGCCCCAAACCTTTGTTGCTAAGTGAGACTTTTTAAAGAGAGCTGTGCCTGTTTTGAGACCTTCCTTGCCACCGTTGTTCAGTGAATCACAGCAGTTGTTAAGTGAGTTACACGGGTTGTTAAGTGAATCTGGCTTCCCCTGCTTGTCAGAAGGACGGGACACTGCAAACGTCATAAATACGAGTCACGTGACCGTGAGGATAGTGCCACTGTCATTAAGTATACCAACTCAGCTGGGCAATGAATTTGATGCTTCAACCTGGCATATAAATATTCAAAATCAGGTTGGCATCTTCAGTGGTAAGGAAGGGGATTTGATCTGGAGGGGTTTTAACTTTGGTGTGTGGAATATGCCGGTGGTCCTCGACTTACGGCCATTCATTTTTGACAGTTGTAGCATCCCAGTGTCAGGTGATCCTCAGTTATGACCTTTTCAGCTAGCATCCAACACACAAAGCGAAGGGAGAAGCCGGCAGGGAAGTTTGCAAGTCACAATCACGTGATGTCCCATCTATCGGCCATGGTGATTCACTTAATGACTGTGATATGAAAGGCTACAAAACCACATAGGATTGCATGATAATTCACTTAACGACCTCTCTGCTTATTGATAAGTTTTTCGATCCCTTATGTGGTTGTAATTCAAGGACTACCTGTATTTTTCCCTAGGGTGTTCATCCTTGACTTAGGACCACAACTGAACCCAACACTTATGCCGCTAAGCAAGACAGTTCTTAAGTTAAATTTTGCCCCGTTTTACAACCTTTCTCTCTGCAGTTGTTAAGTGAATTGCTGCAGTCCTTAAGTTAGTCACACGGTTGTTAAGTGAATCCGGCTTCCGTGTTGACTTTGCTCATCGGGAGGTCTCAAAAGGGGATCACGTGACCCCCCCCCCCGGGATACTGCGACCGTCATAAATAGGAGCCAGTTGCCAAGCGCCTGAATTTTGATCACAATGGTCGTAAGTGTGAGAAACGGCCCTAAAGTCCCATTTTCCCAGTGCCGTTCTAACTTTGAACTATCACTAAATGGATAGGTCGTAACTCAAGGTCCACCTGTAATGTCAGAGGAACCGCGAGGCTTCTGAACCGGAGCGGTAGATGGTTTTTGCTCACCTCGGTCTCTCTCCTCTAGCGGAAACAAGGAAGCGTCCGAGAAAACGGACTTTCTCGAAGAACTAATAAAGCACCAGGAACCGGAAGCTCAGCCGAGTTATTTGCAACAGGTGAGGCGTACCGCAGGTAAGCGTCGAACAGAATAACGGAGCTGGAAGGGACCTTGAAGGTCATCTAGTCCAGCCCCCTGCTCGGGCAGAAGACCCTACGCCTATGCCAGACAAGTGGCTGTCCGGGTTCTTCTTAAAAACCTCCCAGGGATGGAGCGCCCACCACATTCTGGTGGCAAGGAGTTCCCCTGGTTAATGGTTCTCCCTTGTCAGAAAGTTTCTCCCTAATTCCAGGTTGCTTCTCTCCCGGATTGGTTCCCCCTCTGTTGTTTCTGCTTTGTATTTCTGTGAAGAGCTTTCAATTTTTGCAGGTCTTAAAAACGCCTTCCCTATATAGGTAGTCCTCGACTTACAACAGTTCATTTAGCGACCACTCAAAGTTACAACGGCACTGAAAAAAAGTGACTTAGGATCATTTTTCACACTTGTGACTGTTGCAGCATCCCTGATTTGCATTTATGACAGTTTCAGAGTCCTGGGGGGGGGGGTGTCATGTGATCCCCTTTTGTGACCTTCTGACAAGCAAAGTCAATGGGGAAGCGAGACTCACTTAACAACCGGGTTACTAACTTAACAACTGTAATGATTTGTTTAACAACTGTAGCAAGAAAGGTCACAAAATCGGGCAAAATTCAATATATAACTGTCTGGCTTAACAACATAAATTTTGAGCTCAGTTGTGGCCATAAGTCGAGGACTACCGATATTGAACAGTAGGGAGGCAGGAGATACTGGTAGTCCTTGACTTATGACCACAATTGGGCCCAAAATTCCTGTTGTTAAGTGAGACATTTGTTAAGTGGGTTTTGCCCCATTTTACCACCTTCCTTGCCTCTGTTGTTAAGCAAATCACGGTTGTTAAATGAGTAACACGGTTGTTAAGTGAATCTGGTTTCCCTATTGACTTAGCTTGTCTGAAGGTTGCAAAAGGATATATCACGTGACCCCGCTGGGACATTGTGACCGTCATAAATACGAATCAGTTCCCGAGTGTCTGAATTTTGATCTTGTGCCTACAGGGATGCTGCAATGGTCATAAGTATGAAAAATGGTCGTAAGTCACTTTTTCCCATGCCTTTGTCACTCAAAAGGTCACTAAACGAACCATTATAAATTGGGGACTCCCTGTAATCCCTATCTAGCTCGCTACCCTCTGTCCAAATTTGAAACCCACCTTGATTTTAATATAATTTATTTTCTTGATTTCCCAGGCTCTGGAGTCCTCATTGCACCCTTTAGGGAAATTGCTGAAAACCCTGATTTTGGTGTTTCAGTCCACTTATTCTGGCATCGGGACTAACAAGCATCTCTTGAGAATGGCCCAAGAAGAGGTCAAAGACTACGCCAAGAAAATATGGGAATTTTACCAGTAAGTATGGCTTGTGTGTTGCACAATTCCTGGAAAATTTCCCTCTTTAAGCAGCTGCAAATAAATTTAATTTTTACTTCGGGCCAACTTTGGCATTTTTTATTTGCCTTTTGCCTGGATTTTGCTTCTAAAACTTTCCTTTATTTGTAAGAGACCCTAGATGGGGAAATATCATTGTTTTAACCGTAGAGGTAGTGCTTGAAATTACAACGGCACTAAAAAAAGTTACTTATGACCCATTTTCACACTTTTGACCATTTCAGCATCCCGAGTGTTGAAAACTCAGGTGCTTGGTAACCGACTCATATTTACGACGGTCACAGTGTTCCCAGGGTCATGTGATCCCCTTTTGCGACCTTCTGACCAGCCAAGTCAATGAGGAAGCAAGATTCACTTAATGACCGTATTGCTAACTCAACAATTGCAATGATTCGGTTATCAACTATGGCAAGAAAGTTCGTAAAATGGGGGCAAAACACTGAACCAACGTCTCATTTAGCAACGTAAATGTTTGGGCTCAATCGTGGTTGTAAGTTGAGGACTGCCTGTATAACAGAATAAGAGTTGGGGGAGAACCTTGGAGGTCATCTAGTCCAACGCCTTGCTCGGTTTCCCTTATAACTACAGGTGGGAGCCCCAAGTCTTTAACTTAATCCTAGTTTAGGACAAGTTCAAATTTCTGAGTTTTTTAAATTTTTGAGTGCCTGCTAATGATCTTTTTAAAATTTCTTAATTTTCTGGCCTTGAATTTTTACCTTTCTGAGTTTCAATTTAAATTTCTAATGAGCTCTTTTAAGTAGTTTAATTTTCCATTTTCTGAATTTAAAATGGAAGTTTCTGACTTTAAATTTCTAGGTGTTTTCTAATGGTTCCTTTTAAATTTCTTAATTTTCTGTGTTTCTTTTTTGAGTTTAAATTGCAAGTTTCTGTGTTTGAATTTTAAATTTCTGGGTGTGTTCTAATGGTTTCTTTTACATTTTTTAATTTTCCAGGTTTAAATTTTCAGTTCCCACGTTTAAATTTTAAATTTTCCATGTCTTTCTCATGTTCCCTTTTAACTTTCTTAATTTTCAAGTATACTTTCCATGTTTAAATTTTAAAATTTCTACAACTTTCTAATTATCTCTTTTAAAATTCCTAATTTTCCAAGTGTCTTTTCTGAGTTTAAAATTAAAATTTCCTAACACCCTCTAATAACCTCTTTTAAATTCCCCAATTTTTAAAGTGTCTTTTCTGAGCTTAAATTTTAAGTTTCTAAGTTTGAATTTTAAATTTCCTATTGCCTTCTCATGATCTCTTTTAAATTTCTTCTCTTGTAGAAGCTTGTTGCAACTTGCTTTGAAGGTCAAAGGCTTCAATTCTCCCAAAAACACAGAAAAAAGGTACTGATATAGAACTCGGTTAAGCCCTTGATTGTTCTAATCATGATTAGTTACCCAAGCCACACTCCATTGGTGCCATAACCCGTGCTATACAAATTCACATATTCAAATGCTAAAAGTCGAGGTTCATTTCTGGACACGTAGAAGTTTTGTTCCCCATTAAAAATGACTGAAATCTAATATTTTTGTGATTTTAGCCTTCCAGATTCAATGAGCTGCTTGTTTCTTTTGACTCATAGGTAGTCCTCGACTTATGACCACAACTGAGCCTAACATTTCCATTGCTAAGCAAGACATTTATGGAGTTTTGCCCCATTTTACGACCTTCCTTGCCAGAGTTGTTAAATGAATTACTGCAGTTGTTAAGTTAGTCACACGGTTGTTAAGTGAAATCTGGCTTCTCCATTGACTTTGCGTGTCAGATGGTTGTTAAAAGGGGATCAGGGACACGGCGGCCATCATAAATACGAGTCAACTGCCAAGTGTCTGAATTTATATCATTTTACCATGGTTGTAAGTGTGAAAAACGGTCACAAGTGGTGCAACTTGGAACGGCCACTAAATGAACCATTGTAAGTCGAGGACTATCTGTAGATCTCACCTTCCCTCTGGGAGATCAAGGTGGCGTATCTAACGTTTCCCACTCTTGTGGTTTTTCTTTCTCTTTACAACAACCCTATAAGGTGGGCCTGGTCCGAGGAACTCAACGGAGTAATCCGCTGAGTTTTCATAGATGAGGTTGGATTTGAACCTGGACCTCGGTGGCAAGGGAGGGGAATGAGGGGATTTGTTGCTCTCCCTCGGATTAGGTACGTGGACGGAGGCTTCATCGTCCTGCCTCTCATCCTCCCCTATTTCTACCCGGATCTCCTGATGCTCTACATGGTGGCCCACGAGAAGCAGGACGAGGTTTACAGCCAGGGAATCGTCAGCCTCAGTTGTTTCTCGGACACGGCCCTCCTGGAATACCTGGGCGTGCAGAAGTGAGTAGGGGGGGGGTCTCAGAAGCCCCTCCCTCCCTCCTTTCTTCCCTGTCTCCTTCCCTCGTTCCTCTCTCTTCCTCTCCTACCTCTGACTTCTTACCTTTCTCTCGTCTCCCTCCCTTTCTCCATCTCTCCCTCCCTCCTTTCTTTTAGTCTTTCTTCCTTCTTCCTGCCCTCCCTTCTCTCCCTTTTTCCCTTCCTTCCTTCCCTCCCTCCCTCCTTCTCTTTTTCCTCCATCTAACCCTTTTCTCCCTCCCTCCCTCCCCCTCCCTCCCTCCCTCCCCCCCCCTTCCCCCGTCTCTGTTTCCTCCCTCCCACTCTCCAATCCTTCCCCCCATCCTCCCTCCCTCCCTCTCTTCTTTCCTTCCTCCCTGTCTCCATTTCCTCTCTCCCACTCCCCTTTCTTCCATCCATCCTCTCTCCCTCTCTCTCTCTCGCTCCCTTCTTCTTTCCTGCCTCTAACCGCTTTCCTCTCTCCCTCCCTCTCTTCTTTCCTTCCTCCCTGCCTCTGTTTCTTCTCTCCCATTCTCCTTTCTTCCATCCACCCTCTCTCCCTCTCTCTCTCGCTCCCTTCTTCTTTCCTCCCTCTAACGCTTTCCTCTCCCCCTCCCTTCCTCCTTACTGCCTCCGTTTCATCCTTCTCTTCTTTCCTCCCTCCCTCTCCATCTCTTCTCTCCCATTCTCCTTTCTTCCATCCATCCTCCCTCCCTCCCACCGTCTCTCCTCTTCTTTCCTCCCTCTAACGCTTTCCTCCCTCCCTCCCTCCCTCCCCCCTCCCTTCCTCCCTTCTTCCTCCCTGTCTCCCTTTCCTCCCTCCCTCCTCCCCTGAAACTTCTTCCAGATTTCCTTGGGGAGCAGGTGCTGCTCCCCAACTGCCATCCGATTTTTCTCCTCTTCCCTCTCTCCGAAAACGCCTCTCACCCGCTGGTCCTTCTCCTTGCAGAGACTTCTGGCCTGTGAAAGACCTCGCCCTCGCCAGGGACCAAGTAAGTTCTCGCCCGGTCCAGACCCACCACACGCTTCCCCTTGCCTGCAACGTCCGGAGATGCCGCATCTTCGCATGAACGAAAGACCCCTGTTCCGATGTAGGGTATTTCGGATACCCCAAAACCTTAGATTGGGGGTGTCCTCAAATGCCCCCCCCCCCAGGTTTGCTAACTAACCTCTTGTGGTGTTGTTCCTTTGAAGAGGCAGTCGCTGGTGAAGGACCACTGCTTTCTCTCGGCCACCGAATGTCTGCAGAAGCTGATGTAAGTGCCAACAAAAAGTTCTCCTATCTTAGCTTCATAATAACAGGGAGTCCTCGACTTACGACCGCAGTTGAGCTCAACGTCCGTGGAGAGTCTCAGTCATCCAGGTCACGGTGGTCCCAAAGGTTCTTTTTTTTTCAAGAGTCAACTGGACTTCCGGGTTCTGTAAAGACGTTTCGCTTCTCGTCCAAGGAGCTTCTTCAGCTCTGACTGGACGGTGGGGGAATGGAAGGATTCGTACTCCTTGCAGGCAGCTGGTCATTTGCATCCTTTTAGAGGGTCGCTGGAGCCACTCGGAGGTTTATCTGTGTCCTCAGGGTCACCTGAGTGGTGCAAATGGCTCTGGAGCCTTCTTGGAATGGGTCATACAATTGTGCTTTCTGAAGGATGTTCGGCAGTCCTTTACCATCTCCGCACCGTGTTTCCCCCCCAAAATAAGCCCTAATGCAGGGGTGTCAAACCCAAGGTCCCATGAGGCCGTCCTGGAAAATGTAAGGGGCCGGCCTGCGTTGCTTCGGCCCGATCTACTCGATGCGAAGAGGAAACCTTGGGCCGGCAGTTTGAGGAGCGGCATCAAACTGGCCACACCCACCCAGTCAGCCGCACCCAGTGGTGGCGTCAAGATGGCCACGCCCACCCAGTCAGCCGCACCCAGTGGTGGCGTCAAGATGGCCAC